TATATTGTTACGGGACCTTGGGGTTGTCGACGAGAACATCCCTTTCTCGCTGTCCTTACACACTTTCAAGTATAATCGCTCTTTGTGTCGCCGAGACCTAGAGAAGATATACTTGTTAGAATGTGTTGCGGGATTGCCTTGATCGTACGGTAAATAACTTAACGACCACTGTATTTTTATTTCACTACTTCTTTATTTCGTGTTTACTAATTAAAAAAAACTGTAAAAACATCTTTAGTGGAAAATCTATGGAATTACAAATAAAATGCAATACAAGTTCAGTACTTTTTATTTTACGTTTTATGCATAAATTAGGACTATAAAATATATGTATAACAAATTGTAACCTTCTTTGCTGACATCTAAAAATGTTTTGATATGTTGTTTTCTACAGATCTTACAGAAATCTGATGTCAACCTAATTAAACTGATTGTGAGAAATGACCTTTTTTTTAAGTAAGGAAAATGTATTTAGAACAGAAACAGAATTAATTAGCGTTTCAATATGTACATTTGAACAAACAAAGTGAAATTTCTTTTTTATAACATCTGTGTCGGAGTTAAAAATAACTTATTATCTATTGTCAATAAGATTTCTAATTTCTTTTGTTGTTTAACAGTGAATAAAAATCTTAATGAATTACAAAGATAATTAAGATTATAAAGAACGAAATTTAAAGTATATTTCCTACTATCAAGAAATGGAAAAGTCAAAATAGAAACTGTCACTATCTACTTGTTTGTACTTATATTACAAGTTGCAATTAGTATTATACCGAAATAATTATTTCACTCCTATTCAGCATGTTATAATTAGAAGAATTCTGTTTAAAATTATAAATTAAATAAGTCCATAGCTTATACTTGTGTTCTAGTTTGCTTGCATAATTAATTCTACTACTTAGTTGTTTCTCAAAGGAACGTACTGCGCCACAAACATAACCCAAACTGTTTCACTAGCTTATCACCATGGCTAAATATCAATTACCCAAATCTTAATTAATCTAACTTTATTACTATGGACAACAAGCACCAGCAGCTACTACAGTAATAAGTTCCATTTGTTAATCAAAGACCTAATTTCTTATTAATATACAAGTATGCATATTATTTTTATATCAGTAGGAATACAAGCTTAATTATAAAGGTTGTATACCAAGCTAAGTCAGGTAGATTAACAATGAAACTGAATCAGATAAGAAAGTGAAACAAGATAAACCAGATAAAAATTTTCAGCAAGCAATTAAACGGCCACCTGAAAAAAAATAAAGTATTGTAAATTATTCATGACAACGCGGTTTATATGTATAAAAGTTTTAAAATTATTAGCTGCCGCCATGACTTCGCACTGGTGTATTTTGTATCAAATATCAATTATTTATGACACGTAACAACAAAAAGAATATAAGAAATTGAATAAGTGAACGTCATACTGCCAATATTTGTTTTTCTAATACCGTAGCCGCAGCTGGCTTTTAGAGTTTCACTTGACGAAAATAGGGCGAGTGCAGAGGGCAGTTTTGCACTTCTGGTTCTCGGCTTGCTATACCTTTTATATCTAACTCTATATAGTACTACTGTTACCGTCTATCTTTATGTTTCAATATATTTTAAAGTTCCATAAGAAAACTACATGACATAAGGGAACGTACGATTATTTTATCCTAGTCAATAAATACCTACGTCCCAGACATGTAGGTTTAAGTACCAGCTAAAACTAATATTTATAATAATAAATCTATTTGTATTTAGTTTCTAGCTAATAAATCAATGTTATAATCACGTTTTACCGCTGAACTCTTGAGTTAACGATATTAAGACCAGTAAGTAATTGCTTTACTTCACTTACTTCGCTAATAAATTAATAAAACCATAATACCACCAGTCTAGTTAGTTTACTACGTCAAACAATCATTCATTTTATTTATTAATTTTTGTTAAGTACACTAAGTGTTACCAGCGATTTGGTTTGCTTCTTTGAGATGAAAGATGACCTATGTTTGTTCTTTTAATACATTCTATCTTACATTAAGATCCACTCTTCGTTTCAACAGTGAACAGAAAAACCAGACAAGCAGACACTTTTGCGTTTATAATAATGCTCTTGGTGGAATAAAAATTGTACAAATGGCAGGTGACTGAAAACCTTATTAATTTATAAGGAAAATGTATTATTTAATTGTTTCCCTTAAATACAAAACAATATTTGAATGGACAAAATTTATTCTTAACATCAACCTTTCCGAAGTGTATACTGAATATTTTTGAATCTTTAATTGGTTTCATTTCTGGCTGAAGTAAGATTTGTCAGTAACTTATGAATGAATGGGTTATTCTAATAAAAAAAAACTGTTATTTTCTTAGAATAAAAGTTATCATCAATATATTCATATTTTCCTTTATGTTGTTGTAAGATTTGCTGAATATAAAATATTTAACAAATATTATGATTACCTACATGAAGATAAAAACTATTTATTTCTAATAATACGTAGAATGTTGAATGTTAACTACATACAACATTCTACATATATCTACCTATTTATGCTTACGAGTAAAAGTACAAAGTACATATAACTAGAAAGTAGTTACGTAAAGTCAATAGCATTTAGTTACCAGACCAATATTACAAAGCGAAAGGTGACACTGCATATAACAGATGATTAAAGACACAAGATTTTAAAGAAAAGACGTAAATTAATAAACTAATTGATGTATGATAAAGGACTTGAATGCATGTACATATTTTATTAATGAGGTGTTTTTTCTTTAAGTTTATTTCATTACTTAATGGATTTATATAATTTTAACAATTTAATAAAATAATATATATCCAAGTAGTATTTAATAGCATATTAAAAATTAAAGGTTAAATTTATGTTTGTAACAAACATATAATTAACTTTTGTACTAGTGAATTGAAATACAATAGGTATAATATTATGATCTAATCATGTTTTCTACTATGGCATTGTGCGTCGGTCCGTACCGTCGTATACCGTTGGTATACCAACGGTATATATACCGTCAGTATGGTGTAGGGAGGTGTTAACGAACACAGGCAAGACATTAGTGAATGCTGAAAAATTACGATGAAGTTATATTAGTCAGTCAATCATGGCGAATTGAACAAAGGTTGTCGTTGCGAACTGGTAAGGTTAACCTGAGAGGATGTATTCCTATCAATAGAGCAATGATCCTCTATCTACCTATGTATGTAAAAAAAATAATTTGAACTGCAGCATATATTATGTGGTGGTGGATAATAGAATAGTAGAGTTTTAGTATTTCTCTTAGTGATTAAATAGTACGTAAGTATAATTTTAAAGTAATATCCTCGACATGAGAAACGACCAGAGGTTTAAATTATATTTTGGATTGAATATGAACACACTAATAAGTATCTTGAAGATTACGCCTACAGCAGCTGCGTACTGCTAAATTTACAGAAATAATGACAAATTAAATATTAATAATGTTGTTTAAAACATATTATGTTATTTTATGTAGCTCACATATATTTTATAACAGTTCTTGATTTGTGTTAATTAACCAATTTATTTCAATGTTCCATGTTACGAATTTCATGATAGTATTTGATTGTATATTTTACTATTTTTTTTTGTAAGAAATATACTGTATAAATGTTAATCTTTTTATACCAAGATCACGTGATAGATGTAAGGAAGGTTTTAAAAATTAACTTCCAATTTGCTTCTTTGACAAAATTAATCAGATTCTTGAATATTATCGCTGGCTTTCGCCTTAGTAACTATATGCTACTAACTTACTTCTGCAGGAAAAATCAATGAAGGTAATTGTGATTAACAAAAATAGTGAAATGATCGTGGGTATGTACTTTCTATTTTGATAATTTAATAATATATTGTATTATTTTTGTTATTTACGGGTATAAAGAGCGAGAATACTTAAATATTCTTGCAATATTTAGATATACCTACCTAAAAGTCGTCGAATAGGGTCTACTTTACGATAGTTTATAGTTAGTTAGTTGTATTAGCTGCGAATACCCAGCGAAATTCAGTGGACAGTTACTGTGTGCATATGTGTGAATGGAATTCTTTTAAATTTTAAATACTTTTATTCATACAACCACATTCATAGTACTTAAAAAATACATAAGTGGCAGTGAAGCTTCCATAGAAATTCTAAACTTACACCCGATACTGAGAGTTAGGATATCTTTATTATGTAGTAATAAATGTTAAGCAAAGTTCGCCACATTTTCATTGTATGCAAAGTAATAAATAAATAATTGATAACCATTGCCATTATACATGAATACTACTACGAATGTCATGTTATCATGTGATGCCTGTAACATCACAAACGTGTTACCACCATTCGGGAGGACTAAGAAGAGGATGCCACTTATCCGGTAATTTCACAAAATTATTTCACCCATCAACCGAAACAAAGCTTACAAAGCAAGTTCCTAGGCTGCTGAAATAGGTAAGATTGAGATACATACCCTTTTTAAAACATTTTTTATAATCGCTTCATAACGTTTGGATTAACACAAATACAAATGGAGCAAGTGTGTACTGGACCTCGTGAGGCCAATTTACAAAATAATATATAGTCTCAATTTTTAATATATAAAAACACCTTATTCATCTCTAAAGAAATTCTAATACTGTTTTTAAAAGGCCTTGTCAATTTGTCATGGGAACAAATGTTCTTAAACTGTATAAACACTAAATATTAGCCAATGATAATACGAAATATTGTACTTGTATTATGTGAGCAATTTATTTTTTCTGCTCTTGGCACGAGTGATACCACACGTGATATTTATAGAGAAAATGTGTGTGTACTGGAACATAACAATGTCTTTGTAAGTGTTTATTCAAGTTTATTGAGTGAGTTGTGTCAATGAGAATTGACAAAACACCGCGTGTTAGACCTGTTGTACGATTGTCAAAATATGTAGGCAAAGTGAAGAGGAATATACAAAGAGCAGACAGTGCGAAGCAAGCCGTCGTAGTGTCTAGACGTTTTCCGCGCGCCTCAGTTTTCCGCAGCGAGGCCGGGACTCGCGTTTACAAACCCATACTTATTGGTCTATAGTCACGGTCCCCGGTTGTCGTATGAACTGATGACAATGGACATATTACCGATCGACCGAAATGACCTGTAAGTAGGCGACCCCTATGCATGTATTTTCTTTGTTTACTTGTCATTACATTAAAAAAAGCGTGATAGTAACTTAAGATTACTTTTAATTTACTAAATAATTAAATAAATACATTGTTAGGAAATGGTAATATGCTCTTAATTGTAATGTCTTCCCCTATATAATATAATTGTAGTGTAGTCCTCTATACTTAGTTAAGGTACAGCCAGAAGATGTAGGATAAAAAAATTAAGTCTAAAAATATATTTTTTAATATTATATATATTTTTGTTCTCCAATTTATTTAGTTTATATTATTTGCTCATCAAATCTTTTTTATTATAAAATTTATAAATAAGAATCTACATATTTAGAATGAAGTGTTTGCGTTACATTTAAAATGGCTTTCAATTTATTACGTCTCATTAATTATAAAGGTCGTATTTTACATCCAAACGGAAATTTTTTAGCAACGTATTTATTAACAAAATAATTTAGAAATCATAGTTTAAACTAAATATTTGAAAATTGTAATTATAATATTCATAGGCAAGATCTATGATACCAGGTTATTTAATTAAAAATAAATGTAGTTTGTATTGCAAGTGTAATTGTCTTTTTATATATTATCCTTATTCTTAATCAACTTTGCTCGCCACTGAATTCCCGTCATCTTCATTCATAACAAGAACGCATTACCGAGATGAAATGACTTTTATCTACCAAATTCCAAGTCCCATTTAAAGTACAATTGTTTTATTTTTAACTAAACCAGATTTTGTATTTTACCTTGGCTTATTATCATAGGAAAATACAAACCTGGATTACATTATTCCGTGGTAACAAGTAGGATTAACGCTGTCACTCCGGATCATTTTTTAACAGACAGGTGATTAGGTGATATTCATCACCACAGGTATACATCATCACGATACAAATTATAAGTTTACAGTTTTTAACATACCTTTGTACAAACAGTGTGTTTAGTAGAACAAGCATGGTATCATTACAGTATTCTTACGTATATAAATTTACCGAAGGAACATATAGTGAGGGAAGAATTGAACAATTTAGAGACAAGTTGAGATTTTAAAGATAAAATAAAACAAACATTGGCATTAAAACGCGGAAGTAACACTTTGAACTGTGGCATTTATTTAAATATACATAATCATATGGCCACGTACTAGTTTTATTTTATTTTATGGTGGTGGATAGTCATTGACTAGTCTGATCGAAACAAGATTATGCCTACGTTGTTGATCAACTTTTCGGTGACGGGAAGTATATTTCGTTTCACCAAGCAATTTAAAATTGGTATGATACCAATAGTGGATAAGATATATAAGGTTTATAGATTACTTATTCACAAAACCATAGCAACGGATGACCACCGTCTCTTTGCGTAGTAACTTGTACTGTAATAGGTTTAGTTTATAGTGGAGAATGCCAGTGTACAGAATAATTATGGATTTGTTTAAAATATCTTCCTAGCCGTATGAAATAAATAAAAAACAAATAAATTGATTAAGTAATTAATCTATGGTTTTGAAAGTTTTTATTTATTATATTGGTCAGTATAGCGATAATCCACATTATTTAAAGAACAATAAGACAAATAATAAATGAAAATATACACTTATAATATCAAAAGAGAAAATTGATTATATTTGTATAGCAAAAAATATTTTTCTCTAAGTATTTTTATCCACCCAAGCTTTTTATTTGACAATCTTACTTAAAAGACCTTAATTTCCCTTGCGTACTACAAAGTTTGATAGCCAAATATAAAATTCCACGACGAAACAAATACATAGGTATAAATATTAATATGAACTAAGATAAATATATTCTAGATTTCTGAAAACTAAGAACAAAAATTATTTTATAGAATTATTGAAATTTATTTGTCACAACATGGTACACATTAATATAAATTATATAGTTTGGAGTTACTAAGAATTTTCTTTTTAAGTATATTACGGATTCAAAATTGTGAAGAACTTCACCAGACATCAAAATGTAAAACTTTTATTTATAATTTTGAAAAAAGGACGGTGGAAGGATTTTGTTTTATGTATACATGTGTATATTTGACATAAAATAGGTATGTATCCGATATAATGAATTAATGAAAATCATGATTAAGGTTATGTATCATATAACCTATTATAGATTATTTGTACATATATCACCAGAGTTTAAGTGATAGCAATCTATCTTTTAACTTTTCTTGAGCTTTCTGTGGCGTCTAATTTGACTAAGTTACGAAATGATTAAATCCGTAAAATGACCGAATAAAACTTCTCATTAAGATTATTATCAGTGATTACTAAATGTGATTGAATTTTGATGTTTAAGGTACAACGTACCACTCGCTGTCATTTTCATTCATTTAAGTAGTACCACTCATTAACAGTCCTTCCATTATCCTACTTCATTATGGAAAATTATCACCACTTTAATACTTACATAAACGACGAATAAATTTTTTAATCTATATATATATTTTTTATGATATTAAATTGTCGCTAAGCATTTAAAAATCTTAATAATAGTTATTTATTTTAGATTGTGGCAATTATTTATTTAGTTCATAATGGTATGCAATAGTGTTTCTTGCTAACATATTCATGAACGTCATCAAAATCGTATGCTTCCACGGATGCTTGTTTTTTGTTAACAATTACGTTAACTCTCATTTAACTTGTTAGTGAATAAGTTCGAGGGTTTCTAACCATTTATATCTACAGTATTATTTTGCAGTCTTAGTAAGGATTTAAATGGATCATGATAAGCTTCGACTATCTTTATCTTTCATATGAATACTTTTTATCGAAAAAGGCTTTACGATGTATGTAGTTGAAAATAGACTTACCTACTTTTACTTAAGATAAGTTTATTAAATACTACAATAGAAAACATATTTTATTATTTAAATTACTTAAGTACTTGATGGCATCACATTACAGTAGTCATGGTAATAGTGTATTGATTTAATAAATCCATAACTAACTGTATACATGATCATGAAAATTGTATCGACAAAGCCAAAACAATGGCTAAGGCTTTCTATAGGCAACATTGTTTATATAATAATCAACAAAGCCAATTGTGAAGCCGATGCCCAATGAATAATGAAGAGAGCTTGTTTAGATAATAAGCTTTTTAGATCCAATTCTCATTATATCAAATTGAAGTATCTACCTACTTTTGAAGTCGAAGATGCGCCCGTAATAATAAAAAATCAATATACATAATTCGAAGATGCAGAATTTTATTCCATTTTTATTTTCTATTTGTACAGAAATAATTAAGAAAGAAACAATCTGATTTTAAAATAAGTATGCGACATGAAATTGAAAATCTCTTAAATCTCTCAAATTTCATTATTGAAATGAGTAATTGAAATTTTATTTTACTCTGATTACATACAAGAACACGTTATCTTAATAGTATATTTTTAATTCCCATTATCATTACTAATTGGTAACAAATCTACATGGCTTCATCACCATTGAAAGGATAAATTATTACAACTTGACATCTTTTACTCTCCATTGAAGGAGAATAGAGAAGAGATTTTTCTTCTCACGTCTATTGTGTTTTATTCTCCTACTCAATTCTTCAAACATTATTTCAAGAAACGTCTGCTTAAAAATATCGTTATCAATTTTATCGTTCTTACAAAGCCTATTGAAATTAATATCCTATTGTCTACGTACCCATACTGTTTGGTTCTTTTAGATATGTTATATGACTGGCATTTGATCTTAGCCTGTGTCGGTGACAATCTTTTTTGATGAGATATCGATAATATACATACCTATGACTACATAACTCAATAAATTTAAATACATATAACTGAATACATTACTTAGCCCGCGACTTCGTATCTACATAACTTTTTTGGTTGTAAACAGACTGGAAAACAAAATTTTAAGTGAAGCTTACCACAATACATTGGTGCAAACTACACCCAAATCGGCTAAGCTGTTTTTAAGATTAGCAAACGCACAACCAGAAATTATAATAACCATTGTTCTAGGTTCCATTACGTTAATAAATTTCATGTACAGACAGCGATTAGCTACATTTTTATTGCAACTATCTATGTACACACTACTCTGTATGGTAAGTAATAAATAAACAGAACAAAAATGAAACCAATTAAAAACATTACGGTTAAAAATACATCTTTTGAAGCATACGTAGATAAAGATTTTAATTAAGTCTGGATAAATCTCAATAAGTACAATTAAATCCAATTGTTTCGGTCACTTAATAACTCACAGAAGATAAGAAATACTAAGTAAATTAAACATTTGTATCCCCACAGGGTTCATTTTGAGATTTTATCCTAAGTTATCCGTTACTTATTACTTACTTATTCTACTTGGGTAAAAAAATGTTTTAGGGTGTTTTTATTTTATAACTGTGTTTTTTGGAGCAATCTCAGAATTGACTTTACCGTGTTCACTGATGTATTGTAGTTAGCTATGTCTTGTAGCTTCCCGTTTATTATATGTTTGTTTCGTTCCAATTGGTTCGCAAACATTCTGAAATCTATGCGTACAAGCCACGGGCAGAGCAAGTACATTGTAGTATTATTGTGTTATAAAATATTGAATTGAATTGAGTAGCTATGTTTAAGTCTATGGAACCCGCTATGCGTGTCCGTGACGGTCTTAAGCGGATTTGTCTTTTGTTCATGAAAACTACTCGATATAATCCCTGGATATATCACATTTCAGAGCTCACGTTATCGTTTTTATATATATTTAGATAAAATCTATTGATTTTCCTTTACTCTCGCTCCATTTTGGTGTTAGATATCCCAGTTTCCGGGACAATCAAATAACTCGCTTATAGAGCTCTCCGTTGTCTTTATAATGTATAGTGAAAATAAAAAAATGTAGCCGCATCGATTATACAGGTGGACTATTCCATATTCATCTATTAAAAAACAAATTTGCGTACTGTAATAGTTGAGAAATACCGTAATTGCTCACTGTTTGCA